CCTTGCTACTAGGAGCAAGGACGCTACAAGGGGCTCCTGGCCTTACTGCCTTACTACTAGGAGCAAGGACGCTACAAGGGGCTCCTGGCCTTACTACTAGGAGCAAGGACGCTACAAGGGGCTCCTGGCCTTACTACTAGGAGCGAGGACGCTACAAGGGGCAAGGACGCTACATCTGGCCTTACTACTAGGAGCACGGACGCTACATCCTGGCCTTACTACAAGGAGCAAGGACGCTACAAGGGGCTCCTGGCCTTACTACTAGGAGCAAGGACGCTACAAGGGGCTCCTGGCCTTACTACTAGGAGCAAGGACGCTACAAGGGGCTCCTGGCCTTACTACTAGGAGCAAGGACGCTACAAGTGGCTCCTGGCCTTAATCATGTTTGCATGAAATTGTGTAAAATGCACCTCTCTGGTGTTGGGCTGCGAGTTTGTGGCTGCTTGATGGTCTGTCATGTCTGGTAAGTGAAGCTTATGCTAAGCTTTAAAGAGCTTAAGTAACCATCGCTTGCGCAAATATGCCTCGAACAATGACTTTGTTATCTGGCAGTCAGCTCGAAACCAACTCAATATATTTAATAGTGCAAGTAAGCTTCATGACAAATATATATATATATATCAAGGCAAGCTTATCCACCCCAGCTCTTGCAGGCGCACGAATACACATTCTGTATGTCCAAGTTCTTGGGAGGGGGGGTTAGAGCGCTGCTGGCATGTCTAAACAAAGCAACCAGCCTCTCAAAAACACAACATGGCCGCCACAAGCAAGTGGCGTTGTGGTATGTTGAGATGTCAGTCTAGCACTGCTGCATTGTCATAAAGCATGCTCAAAATGTAAGAGCCCGGCGATGACACACAGTAAATGCCAAACTGCCACCAACCTCACTAATGAGCCTTGCGACAGGGCCAAACCGCATGCTAAACCTCCAGGATTTTCAAGATTTCTCGTGGTCTTCATGGTAGCTGTTATTCTTCAACTATATATATAGATATATAATTCATTTTCACCAGGATATGTTTGAACTTGGACTTTGATTGTCTGGTGAGAACTCAAAGTGTGCTGGTTCTCCTGGTCCAACAGCAGTTCAAAACTGAAGCAGCAACACCATTGCAGGCTACAGGCCAGCACAAACATCATTCCTAGACTCGAAACGTACAGATTGGTGGAAGTTTCTGGAGGTGCATGCAGTGGTCAACGGTTGAGGATATCCTTCCATTCTGTGTGCTGTACTTCTGCAATCGTGCGCACCTTGGAATCAAGGTCTTGCAGTGTGGCATGGGGCGCAAGACCTGCGAAAAGAAAGAAGGTTCAGGCTCTTGTTCCAAACTGAGTCTATTGTGGTTTATTGGGCTGTCGGCTACATGCAAGGACTCAGGTCTAGGACTTTCCAAAAGACAAAGACCCGTTCTGTCGAGGTTCTTTCTGCCGAAAAAGACTCTGCTAGCTTTCCAGTCAAATGTATTTTAAATAGAAAAAAAGGATTAAAAAGCTCTAAAGAAAAGGAAGAACCGAACAAAAACATACAAATAAAATCAAAGTGTTACAAAATTAGAACACAATGAATAGAAGGTGCTACAGTAAATTTTGGATCTAAGAATCAATGTGCAGAAGCCTGAGCTCTTCTGCGTCCAAGCCTAGTAACTACCCAAGCTACTACAAGCTTACTGGCCAAAAGAAAGCAATCCAACCAAGAAGCGATGGCCTCCACCCTACTAGCTATGGCCTCCAACCTAAGAGCGATGGCCTTTGGTTTCTACTGTATGGGGTGGTGACGTCCAAAATGTCCAAAGCATGCCTCAAAGTTGCCATGGCAATAGTCTCGAAAGCGAGCTGCACCAGGCCATTGGAGACCCTGCAGAAGAAGCACAAAAATATCTAAAACATGCTAAAACTAAAATATCGCAAGTGAAGCAGAATCACATAGAACCCGTTCAATCACATGTGTAAAGCGGTCACGAGAAACACAGCGCTGATACAAAAGAGACGCGACATCCGTGGTCAATTGTCTCACGGTGCCAGTGCCAACAGCCAGTCCTCTTGCAATAGCTCAGCAACAAAGCCACGCAAAGGTCTTTGTGCCGTACCAATCCGGGTCGGCTGTCCAGCCTGGTCAGGGTAAGCAACGAAGTAAACGAGCCGAGCGATGCAAAGCGCACAGGTTGAAGTAGGGGACATACTAGGACATAAAAGTCATAAGTATTGTGCTCACGGCCGATCAAGCAAGGCGATGCCTTTCCTTCCTGCGAAACCCTTCTCTCCATGTCTACACGCGTTTGACTTTATGCTTATCCCAAAGATACAAATTAAGCGATGGCAAGTCCACTCAAAAACAAGGAAGTATCATCTGCCTCCAGACTTTGAAGGAGAGGAAATGCATCACACCAGTGCAGCTCTTCGACTTCCAAATGAGGAGGAGGGGTTCTCTGTGAACATCCATGTGCAACTGTTGCAGCTGCAATCACCAATGCGCGGCTGCGTCGATTAAGGAAGCTTCTCTGAACAGCCCGCTGCTCCTGCTTTTTCAAAGATCCGAGGCTCACAAGACGAAGCACCTGTAGGCCCTCACCATTTGGTCCCTTGTGCCAAGGTGAGCAGCATACTGGTGCTGAATAAATGTCAGATTGAAGGCAGGATCGCAGCTCAGCTTCACCGCCCAAGACGTCAAGAGTTTCTTCCGTGGCCTCTCTCGCCATAGCAGAGGGAAAGTCCGCATCTGTGGGTTCAACGAACCCCCAAAATGGGCCTGCTTGTTTCTGTGGCCACCAGGGTCGGTCTTCAATTCCCAGGAGCACCCGAGCGCCCGCTTCGCCATCTTCACAGGCAACTAAGACTCCTGCTGCGAGGTTTGCATCCTCTCCCCACCACTTTGGAGCCTGGAGAAAGCACAGAAGTTGGCGGGACCAACAAGAAACTACCGAGACGAATCTGGTTCAGCAAAGCTTTTGGTTCACGAAGTCAACTGCCCAGCCTTCCGCACCTGTCCGTAGGTACCGCCATCAAGGATGACACTCATTGTGCTGAGTTGCACCTCCAAGCCAAGGGATGGTACTGAAAGGCTAGCGGGCCTCGCATCAGCTGCGGCATGTTCAGCTTTGTCTTCTGCCGCAGTCAATGCATCACATGCTTCTGGTGGCAGCCACTGCCAACGCTCCTCTGAGGAAAGCCGATACTGCCACCGGCAGGCCATTCTGACAGTTTCAATGTCCAATCATGGCACGGCCCGGTGTCAGGATTCATGATCGAATTTTTTAGGGCATGGTCAATGGTGTAGCAGTGCTGCCACAACCAATTTTGGCACGTGGCATACTGTATGTCTGAAGCTATAACAAATGCATAGTATATATATATACAAAGAGAGAGAGAGAGTTATATGCAATTACAGTTATATAATTTTAATATATGCATGATTAATCATGATTTTACGTATATAAGTGATTGTATCAGTGGCCAAAACAAGTCTGTTTGAGAGCACCAAGCGCCAAGCACTGTGACGCGGACAGCAAGCATTTGAACATATATATATATTATACTATATTATATTCAAACCAACGCAATGATCAACAGAACATCAATTTCTCAATCACCATTCCACCAGCACAAACGACGCAGGTAAGCATCATATACGGTCGCCTTACTGCCCTCGTCCAGCTCAGCCAAACGAAGAAGCTTCAGTTGGGTTCTCTTTGCCCTGTCCAAATCTCTCAACCACTCAACTATCAGCTACTAATGCCCTTGTTACTAGTAGCGATGGCCTCCAACCTACTAGCGATGGCCTCCACCGTAGTAGCTTCTAGCTACTGGTAGCTTCTTGTTGATAGCCATCTAGAAAACTCTCGAAAGTAAAGCCGATAAAGTACCGGCCCTACGAAGCATGGCAGCGATGGCCATAATGCTGAGGTCGTGACACATGTTCTTCGCCGTCTCCATCCCACGAAACTAGAAATGTCCCATCTCCGTGGTCCTTCTTTTGCCGGACACCAGTTCAGTCAACATTGCAATTTCAATGTGAGCAGTATTTTGATATTGACACCTTCTGAACGGTGGCTTCGTAGTAGTCTTGGTCATCCTCATAGAAGGCCTGTCCATAGCCAATGTTTCAACAGAAAAAAAGAAGAGTGCACACATGACAATCCCGGTTTCCCTGGTACAGTATTCTACAGTTTGCTCATGGAGTTATCCACTACTTGAGCAAGTCAGTCAGCTTCGCGAATGCTTAGGTGCCGCTCATTTTCTCTCGCATCATCATGTGCATTTGGCAACGCTCCCGTCTTGAGAGTCCAGCCCTCAAGTCGGAGGTCAAAGGGATTGAAGATGAGTTCAGTAGCCTGAAGTAGCCATCTGGTCAACTAGGGAGCAGTTTCCTACCGTTCTGTGCCTTTGATTGTCGGCAGGTAATTAAAACTGCGCCCTCGACCACAAGATGAGCCATGAGCTCTCTAGCAGCAGCCGCTTGCCTTCTTCTTCTTGGACTTCTTGGACTTTGAAGACTTTGCAAGCTTCCCTTCCGGAATTGATGCTCCAGTCTTCATTCCCGAACCGGTGACTACAAAGCTCTCACGTGCCAAGTCGGACATGGCATGTGTCTCTTGAGGGGCTGTGTGACCTTCAGGATGTGCAGTGACCATGAAGCCGGGTGGCAAGGCCTCACCAGGAGCAAACCACTTTCCCTGGGAATGGTCCAAGGCACTTGGCAATCCATAGGGAGATGTGGTGTAGACACTTGGGGGCACCGCCTGAACTGATGAGGCTCCCACGGGAATTGAGTATGGAGAGGACGAATACATCATTTGAGGCGTGCCTTGCATGGTGCTCACATATGCTCCCGGATCCACGGTGTACGCTGGCATGGCATCTCCATAAGCCACTTGGGTCCCCTGAGGCATGATGTAGGTTGGCTCTGTGGGGTAAGCAGCCATGGCCACAACTCGAGCAGAATCAGACTTTGGTCACCTAGACTTAGACGGCTTGAGCAGACTCTAAAGCAGCAAGAAATTGTTGAACGATGTGCTGCAGTCCAACTGCCATGTGTACTTCAAGCATCCAATATTTCTTCGTGACCAATACGTTTTAAGCAGAGAAACTGCTGAAGCACCTGAACTTTGTCTCCTTCTTTGAAGACATGCTCTTCGCCCTCGTAGGTGAACCATGGTTTCAGGAGACCTAGAGGAGAATTACTTTTTTGATTGTTGCAGACATCTTGTTTCTCAACCACTACTCACTACTCAACTCTCTAGTTTGGAATGTTTTATCGCCAAAATTGCCAACAACTCAGTCCACGTCCGTCACGTTCGGCTCCAATGTTCACAAAGGTGCCGAAACTAAATGTCCTGGAGCTGCGCCAAAAGGCACGTCAGAACAGTCAGAGAAACATGACAAAAGAACACACACACACACACAAATGGCCTCCAACCTACTAGCGATGGCCTCCAATCTAGATGTTGCTTTCTTGAAGTTCAAGTATAGTGACTTTAGTGTGTTGTCTGTTTCTGCAAATTTCTCGGCCATGCAATGCAAATCATTTGCAAATCACACACAAAGGGATATGACCGCCTCTGATGCTACCCCTGATACTTGCGAAAGGTCGCATGCTCGACCTGTGCAGCCTTGCTAGAATCTTGCATGATCTTCATGTGCAGGCATCGCTGCTAGTAGCGTCCTCCTAGTAGTAAGGCCAGGACCTAGTAGCGTCCTTGCTCCTAGTAGTAAGGCCAGGAGCCCCTAGTA